TACACTTTATGAGAATTTTAGATAGGAAATAATTGCACCAGGATAAGAAAATAAAATTAAGAAATAGATTGGACATACTGAACGGATAGTTCAAAGTTGATATAAGCAGCAAATATAACATTTTTTTAGCATCATATTACAATTTTATTTATTTGACGGACTAGAAAATCTTTAAAATGTCAAATACGACCCTTATAAATTTCATGAAAGAGACCGAAAATTATCATTTTTTTAGGGTAAATTACAAACACCCCCTGAGGTATGGTCAAATTATAAAAACCCCCTCTTGTTTGGATAATTACATCTACCCCCCTCAACTATGATTTTTTCTTAGACCTCCACCTTTATGGTGCCAAATTCAACATAATCATCTAGATTCCGTGAAATGTGCTCTAGTTTGTACTCTTTTTGTGTAAAAAATACAGTTTCCGATGCACCACAAACTGATATATACAAGCTAAAAATCACATATTATGGTCATCTTGCTTCATAATGTAGAGTTTGAATGGGATAAAATGGGTACAAAAGTGATAATATTCCGTATAATCTCGAAGATTCCACTAAATTTGATGAGTTGAGGGGGTGGTTGTAATTATCAAAACAAGAGGGGTGTTTTTGTAATTTGTCCATACCTCAGGGGTGTTTGTAATTTACCCTTTTTTTTATGAAAATAAGTACCATCACACACAAACAGAGGCTAAGGCTACCTTTAAGAAAACACACAAGTATGTAGCTTGTGAAGTGTGTTATCAATACTGAGTGAAAAAAAAAATTCATCTTTACTTGAAAAACAAATGCGAGTACAAATAATAAACTAGATTAAGTGTATTAAGGAATATTCTAGAAGGTTAATTCATGTATTAAATTAGCTTATTAATGTATTTTGATTTTAATTAAAGTTCATGTACTAGTTAGAGGTGAATAATTAAATTAAATAGTACTACATGTACTAGACTAGATTCATGAAATCCTATATATACCACATGAAAAAAAAAAAAATATATATATATATATATATATATATATATATATATATATATATATATATATATATTTGGAATAAGTCAAGTTTTCAAGTTTAACAGAATTTTCCTATTCTCCTCCACTTCTCGTGCGTGCCCGCGCGCGCGCTCTCTCTCCATTTTACTAACAGAGTAAACAACAATAGGTGAAATAACATCACAAATTATACTTGCAATTTTTTGCAACACACATCGCAGTATGTGCTGGCGAGCGGAGAACAGAATAGAACACGCCCCATGCACAGAGACGTGGTTATTTCCGTGGAAAGAAATTCAATAAAAGAAACTACTTACTAAAAAAATTAATTTAAAGAGAGTGGAAACCAAATTTAAAATAACTTAGCAAATAACTGCATCATAAGACAAACAAACCTCTGGCTGAAAAGTACTGAAATTAATTGAAGCGAGCGGTGCCTTGAAAAAGGTTATTTAGCTAATTACCTACATAGTACATAAGAGCAAATTTTACGATAACATAACGAAACGAAAATTTTGAAAAAACATAGTGGTTGTTTTATTATTAGAGATGGTACGGTGGTGGTGGTGGTGACGGCCATGCATGAGCTAGCTAGCTACTCCATCAGTTTGTTGATGATGCATGCCCATATACGTACGTACTAGCTAGATCATTTATTAGCAGTAGTAGTGGTGGTGGTGGTGTAGTGGTGGCGGCGGCGCTTGCGGCTAGCGTCTCGATTCTTCCCCCACTCGTGAATCTTGAGGTGGAGCTCGGCCGCAGCAATAAGGAAGTAAGCACCCTGAATAGGACTGAGAATAAGGATCAACTCTTTGAGCGTCTTGAGCCTCAAGTCATCGGCCATCTGCAGAACCCTCACCAGCCCATTCTCCTTGGATGCCAGAGCCGCATCAACTACCACCTGTTGATCATGTTCCTCCATATGAACCATCAACTCGGTCGTCAACCTGACCATGGAAGAGTCGGCAATTGTCTCCTGCTTCTTAGCCAGCTTCTCGGTTATCATCTTCTCCTCCCGTAAAGTACTCTTGTGCAACTCGTCCACCCGCACCATCTGACTGTGAGAGAGATCGCCCAGGTCCCCAGTGTTGAGCCCGCTTGGTAGATGATGATAGTCTTCCAACGCGGCCTCGAGCTGGAGGCCGCATTTGGAGTAGAGCAGGTGGAAGGCCGTGGTGGGCCTCCACCCGCCCACCCACATGAAGGCTTTCTCCAGGCTGCTCGTCCACGTCGGGCTGAACATTGACAGAATGTCCTTCTTCGCCCACATTGACTTCGTCTTGTAGTAATGCTCGTAGTGATGGACCACCTGCTCCACTACGTCTGATCTCCCGCCCCACTCCTTGGTGGCGGAGACAAGTTCTTGGAGTTGGTAGTTTTGCTCCACCATCCAGGAGTCGAAGAACATGTGGAAGGACACGTGTTCTCCGACCCCGCCTCCGGTAGCATGCACCGTGTTTGTGGTGCCATTGGGCAAATGCAAATTCGACATCGTGTCGTTGGGGGTGGGGGGTCTCTCTTTTTTCTTTTCTTTTCTTTCTTTCTTTTTTTTCTTTTCTTTCTTTTCTTTTAGTGGCAAGTTAGTTTGTGTCTTTTTTTTTTAACTCAACTGTTGTGATATATATATAGTGAATATTTATATTATACATAAATTTAGCTAGGTTCATTTTTGGGTTTGTGGTGTTGGATACATGTATCTCAAAAGTGGTCGGTTAGAGAGGATTCTAGGGACTTGCCTTTGTGCTCTGCTCTCACTGTGGTTTGGCCCGTGGGGGTGGGATATATATGATGACGATAACTATGACATTTTTATTGAATAACTCAAACAACCCTCCAAATATCCAAATCATTCACTTTACCCCCTAGTTTTATCATGCTCGTCTATAGGAACCCAAATATGCAACAAATTAAGTTTTTTTTTTTTTTTTTTTTTTTTTTTTTCTTTTTTTCCCCTTTGATTTTGGCACTTTGAAAAAGGACACAAACCAACATCATCTCGTGCAGTGGCGAGTCCAGAAATTCGGTAAAGGGGGGGCTTCAATTTTCGGGGGTTCGGGGGCAGCGCCCCCGATATTTTTTTAGGATATGTTCGAAAATAGGAAAAGGAGAAACGAAAAAAAAGAAAGAAAAAAACAAATTTTAGAGTTTTTTGTATTAATTTGGATTTTGGGTGGGCTAATTAATAAAATTTGGGACTTTTTTATATGAATTTGAATTTTGGGTAGACTAATTAATAAAATACGGGACTTCTTTTGCATTAATTAAAATTTTGGGTGGGCTAGTTAATAAAATTTGGGTGGGCTAAATAAAGATATGGTAATATAGGGGGTAAATTAAAAATTGAGGGTGGGCTTGAGTCCACCCTTGCCCTAGGGTAGACTCGCCCCTGATCTCGTGTTGGAAAAAATTCAAACTGCCAAAATAAAATGGAAAATAAAAGTGGTGACCCAAAAAAAAAATGAAAACCATACTAAATTAACTTAATTTGGACACAATTTTTTTTTTTTTTAAATAACATAGTGAATTACGATGATGAAAGCAAAAAGTAAGAACACGTATAAAATGGTCAGAACAAAACAACTTGGTGTTATATATATATATATATATATATATATATATATATATATATATATATATATATATATATATATATATAAAGCTTCACGGATCAGATATAAAATATCAAACTATTAATTAAAATACTAATTTAAAGCCATTCCCGGCCATCCATGAGGGAGTATGAGCGGGTGAGGGAGGGGGTATGCTATTATGGATCAGGTTAAATGAAACATTATTTTATATATAATTCCTAAATTTTATAGATCATCATCAATATTATGGAACTAAACCTTAGCCCTTCTTTTCACTATTTTTGTGACGCAAATATCGAACCCGAGACCTGTTCATGTATGAAGAAGCTCTTTGCCACCTCAACCACTAGCCATTTCAATTAATTTATGTATAACAGTCAAATTTGTTTTTGAAATTTTTGGGTGTGTAGCTCCACACCATAGACCATAGCCAAATTCGCCACTGATTACGTATGAGAAATATTCCAAACAAATCATTGTATTAAATAGTTCAAGAACATAAATAATTCACAAATCAAGATATATAGTTCACTTTATACTTTATAGTACAGACATGCACAAACAATTAATTAATTAGTTATAGTAAATCATATAATTAATTCAGTAACAATTAAAGCACTATTCGATCGAAACAAATATTCCACATACATTATATATTTATTTATTTTTCCCAAAAAAAAATTAAAAAATTAAATATTTAAGCTTAAATCTTGAGGGCGAACTTCACAATGCTCAACACCACTATTCAAGTATTTAAAATTGAATGAAAATATTGCATGCATAATATAATTAATTAGTAAAATTAAGAAATGTAATAAGGTTAAAGAATAATTGTACCTGGTGGCCGGCACAGATTCTCCGATCGGAACACAGCCATGCATATTCTTCGATTTGAGATTTACAAATTATCAGATCTATATACTTTTGTGTATTTAAAAATTTCGAATTGAAGAGATCTCCATTTTTTTTGGTGACAAAATTTATAAGTACTAATTACAGAATTGGATTTACAATGAACGAAGAAAAAAACAAGGGTTTAGGATATTTTTGTTTGTTTCTCCTTCTAATCGCCTAGCTCCTACGAAATAATTATTTTCCAACAATATATTAATGTTTTTTCATTATATATCTATTTAAAAAGGGTGAATATCAATTTGCACCCCATAATTAACCCTAATTGGCCCTTTGCACCCCAATATTTCAAAATTGGTAAAGTCCACCCGCAAATTATACTTCTCATGGCACAATGCACCCCACATCAATTCCTTGTGAGATTTTAACCCAAAAATCAATATATCACTATATATTGTACCTTTGAAGGGATTTTCATGCTTGATTGTATATTATAGTTTTTATTTTTTATTTAAAAATAAATAAATTGTAAAGCCTTACTCTCTCTATCCCTTATTATATGTCTTTTTGGGGTGTTTTTTTTCTGTCCCAAATAATTTGTCATTTTGCAGTTTTTTTTTGATAATTAGTCATATTGCAGTTTCAATAGGGTATTAATTGCATTTTTATAATGTTGCCCCTTATCACTCTTAATTAGTAAATAAAAAAATTTGTGACAAGGGTACTTTAATATTCCGTATTTTATTTTTGGTATAACCTATGCATATTTATTGACTATCTTAATATGCGCGTAAGTACCCAAAACGACATATAACATGGGAAGGAGGGAGTATTTTGATTAATCCATTTAATTTTTATCAACTACACATTAAAAAAAATGTTACTAATGTCCAATAGTTCTCATTCTATTTTTCTTAATATATATTAATTTAATGGAAAATTATAATTTTTTAAATTTAAAATTGAATTAGAAATTCTATATGCATTTATTAATTCGATACGAAACATATAAAATAAATCGCCACTTATGTTTTTGAAATTTATATACAAGTAAAATAAATAAAATAAATATTAAGTAAGAAAACAAAACATAAAGAATAATGAAAATTCTTCAAATGTTTAAAATATCATGATATATTATTGAGTTTTGGCTAAAATATCACTAGAAATTGAGGCCGGTGCATTTTACCAGGACATATATTTTGTAAGGGTGGATGGACTTTGCCATTTTTTAATTGATAGGGTGAAAAACGCCAAATGCTGTTAATTCCGGGGTGCAAAACGCAATTCACCCTTTGAAAATGAAGTAAAAAAAAAAAGAAAAAAGAAAAGCAACGTGTCTGCATGTGTGATTGCCAAGTGTCGACCCCTAATGATGACAAGTGTGAACAAGTGTCATTGCGTTTGGGGTATGCCTATCTGATTAATTCGGTAACTGGTCTACATGCATGTATGTAGAATATATATATATATATATATATATATTCATTGGGAATTTAATTTTAGATAAATCTTTTATTTATAAATGATATTTGAGATAAATTTAATGATCCTGAGAAATCATAAATGCCCACACTAATTAATAATTAATATAATTATTTAAATTAAAAAAAATTATACACATAATCTACACCCAAATTTTTTCCATAATTTATACCCACAAATCACGCTTCAGATTTATGCCTAAAATAATGCTCCCAAATCAATTCTAAAAATCTCATTTTTATTTCTTTTCTTATTTTCAATTTCTTCACAAAAAAAATTTGATTTTGTTTCTAAAAAAGTTTATATTTCATTTTTTAATTTTGGCTTTTTATTTTTTATACTTCTGTTTTTCAATTAAATTTAAAAAAAAAATTGTTTTTAACTAATTGAAATTCACTATAAACTTACCAAAAACCACTATTTGATTATAGTATTCCATTACGAAAATTCATTATAAACTTATCGAAAATCTCTATGTAATTAATAAAAACCACTATGTAATTAATGAAAACTACTATGTAAATTAACTAAAATCACTATGTAATTAGCAAATTCCATTACAAAAATTCACTAAAAACTTATCAATTAACAAAAACTACTCTATAATTAATGAAAACCACTCTGTAATTAACGAAAATCACTATGTAATTAACAAATTCCATTACAAAAATTACTGAAAACTTATCATTAACGAAAACGACTATGTAATTAATGAAAACCACTATGCGTGCAAAAACCACTCTTTCTTTTAACTTTGAAATCCGGCAATGTGTCAAATCCACGTTGTAATTTGAAAGGATCGATCGACTAGATGCTAAAAACCACATAACAATGGGGGAGAAAAACCATGTGCATTCATATTAACATCATTTCGAACGGTGTTAAAACCACGACTATTATGCACTTACACATTTTGCGTAAAAAGTACGAAAACCACTCTGTAATTTCTTGAGACGAACTTCCTTCTTTGCCACATATGACACCTCTTGATTTCTATACTAATGATTCACAAAACAACAACGTGAATGCCCCCGTCCTTAACATCTAAATCACGAATAATCAACACACATGAAACATTCCATTATTACCGATAAACAAACAACAATGGAACAGACGATTCCTAATGGCATCTATTTGAGGAGGCTGCACGGCGGTGGAGAGAGAGCAAATAAGGCCGCGACGATGGAGATAAAAGAGAAAGGGCCGACGACGCGAGGGTGGTGCAAGGCCAATTCCATCTGTGGTGGAGCGGGAAGTCTCGCCAGGAGGAGGTAGGGAAGAAAAGGCGTCGTCGTTCGATGGGGCAGCGGTGTTGTGGGTGTAGAGAGAAGATAAAAGAAACCATCGTGATGCAAATATAAGATCTAGAGTTTGGGAAATAACTCAATATAAAATAATAACAAAATTAATATCAGAAAGGGTATACTC